CCCGGGGCTGCAGCCGGCTGGTCCCGGTCGTGTTGCTTTGAACTGTCGGGCCGCCCCTAGCCGGGCCTGGCGGGCTGTGCTCGGCTCTTCAAGTCTTCCAGCCCCCCCCCCCCCTTCCCTCCCCCCGGCTCTCCCACGGAACAAGAGGGCGGCCTCGCAAATCACCTTAGCCGCTCGGCCGAAACTTAAATCATCATCGAGCGCCAACTTCCTTAATTTGGTTTCGGCTCGCGCAGCGTCCACGCGGCGCCCGCGCAGCGTCAGTGATTCCGGGCCGTTTCCAAATCCGCGGCCCGCGGCGCCCCGCTGCTCACATTTCGAGCATCTCTGTCGAAGTCTTGGTTGTTCTTTTCTGGCGACGTGTGTTGTACAGTGGCTGATCCAGATCTCGCCTGAGGGGTGGGGAAAGGGGGCCACAGTGGGCCAGAAGACCGGCACCGGCGGCGGAAACTCTAGACGCGTTTTGAGCTTCAGTCACCACCGAGCGTGTGACCCCACCAATGGATTCCTCGTTCAAAGAGCAATCCGTTGGTGGGGTCACACGTTCGGTTCGAGTCCCATTTAGCGACCCTGGAACTCAAAACGCGTTTCGGCTGCCGGCGCCGGTCTTCTGGCCCACTGTGGGCGGCACCTCAGCCTCCCCCACCGCGTTATCGGCTCGACTGGCCTAATCATAGGAATATGGGGATGCAAGGCGGCGCCAAAAAGAGCCGCTGGGTTCGAACGACGCCGTCGCTTTGCAGTCGGACGGGGTTTAGGCCTTGCCCGGAGCGCACACACCAAAAACAAGATTTCTGATTTTTTTCTCATTTGGTTTTCTTTAAGTAAAAAATATTTTTTTTCAAGTCGCATTCTAAATTTCAAATGTAATTGCTCAAAAATTTCGTCGTGATGACATGAGTAAAAACGGAATGCCGCCTACTCTGAGCGCGTGCCTCTCTCCAAATCGAGGGCTTGGGATCTTCCGAGAAGTGCTCACCGAGCTCTCCTCTCCGGCCTCGTGGCGGCTGCTGGCGGCTGCCGGGGCGAGCCGCGGCGTCTCCTTCCCAGAAACTCAGAAACTATAATCCGACAAACTTTGCACATCATTATTGTTTGCAGCGATTTTCGCAAGATCTGGAACAGCGCGCGCGCGCGCGCGCGCGAGCGTGTGTGTGTGTGTGTGTGTGTGTGTGTGTGTGCGTGTGTGCAGGTAGAGCGTGTTTGGTGGGCCCTGGTTGTCGAGGTTGTCACGCCGCCTGGGGCAACTACTTCTATATCACGCCGCCGCGAACCAGCCCCTACACCAACAGCACTAACCCCCTAGCCGCTCCCTCCCCACTCCTCCCCTCCTATCCGCGGCCCACTTTTCGCGTCTCGAGCTGCCGCCCCACTTTTCTACCACTCTTGCTTTGCCACACCAAACCCGCGCATATATTTCTCTCTCTCTCTCTCTCTCTCTCTCTCTCTCTCTCTCTCTCTCTCTCTCTCTCTCTTCTCTCTCTCTCTCTCTCTCTCTCTCTCTCTCTCTCTCTCAATCAATTACCGATTCAATAATTAGCGGTCCGCTCCGCTCGACCGCCTCGCACCTGTTGGCGCATTTTTTAGCAGATGACACCGTTGCTAAAGCTAAAGCAAGCTATACAATTGTAATGAAGGTGTCAGCTTGCTTTTACTCTCGAGATAGTCTTGAGGCGGGGCGGGACCATGCGTCTGTGAGTGCGTGAAGCCGGCCTGGGCCGGAAAAGGGCATGGGGCCTGGGGCCGCCCCCTCCCCCCCTCTACCTCCCCGCCGCCAGCGCAGGGCGCAGTGGCGTTGCGTGCTGCGTAGCAGGCCTAGGCAAGGCTCGGCCGGCTCGGCTCGGCTCTCAAGCAGGGCCGAAGCGTGGCCTGCTCAGCTCGTATCGCCTTCGGAGCTAGGTCGGCTTCGCTCGGCTGATACCGATGCAGGATGCAGCGTGGCCCCGCCGCCGGCGACACCGCAGGCCGCTCGAGGCGAGGGGAGCGGGGGCACCGCACCGCACGCACAAAAACTGCTACAGTGTCACCGGCTGGCTTGAAGGAGCGCGTTGCACGTGTGAAGTGTAACAGCTAAGATATGTGGGAAGAAGCAGACGAAGCGGCCTAAGCTATGGCCCCCAGGAAGCACAACGAGAGCGTAAACGTGAAAGGGCCCGGCAGCTGTATCGGGAGAAAGGAGTCGAGAGTTGTCAATTTTGGTGAATGAAGTGATAAACAAGCATACATTAAAATAAACATTCTCATTAGAATGTCATCTGCTTCCACGTTAGCGTTAGCGTTAGCGTTTTTTTATAAATAATTAACGTGTTGCGCGTCCTTATTCGGCGCGTTTTGCTCCTTGGAAACTCTCGGCCGCTGCGGAGTGCAAGCGAGAGCGGATCGCGAGGTGGATCGAGAAGAGAAGGGGGGGAGGTCCCGGATGGAATAGCTATCCTTATTAAGCAGTCTTGTTTGACTCTGAGGCGCGCAGAGAAAGTGAGGGGAAAAGGGGAACTAGGACTCGAACCGGGCGTGTAACCCCACCAATGGATTCCTCACCCAAAAAAGGCGTTTCTTGAGCCAAGATAATGTACTTGCCATAAGTGAATTTTCTTGACACATCCAAGAAAATTCACTTATGCCAAGTACATTATCTTGGTTCAAGAAACGCCTTTTTTGGGTGCTCGTTCTGAGAGCAGTCCATTGGTGGGGTCACTCGTTGTGTTCGAGTCCCATTTAGCGACTCTGGAGCTCAAAACGCGTCCGGGATTTTGACGGTCTTCTGGCCCACTGTGCGGTCCGGCCAACGGGACATGCAACAGCGTGGCCGGCCCTCTGCCGCAGTGGGCCACTGCCGGGGCGAAACTAGGGTGCCTAAACACAGGGCGCTCCGATCGGAAACTACATGAGAGACAGAGAGAGAGAGAGAGAGAGAGAGAGAGAGAGAGAGACACTGAGAATCCAAACGCTATGAGTATAGCGTCAATTGGTGCAATGCGAAAGCATTGCACATGAAGTGCAATGCCTCCCCATTCCCATGCATTAGCATAGGGCCTTTTCGGGATGCATTGCACGCAAGGTGCAATATGGCTGTGGCATTGCACGTATGGTGCGATATCTCAGCTGCATCGCACCATACGTGCTATACTCATAGCGTTTGGAATGTCAGTGGAGAGAGAGAGAGAGAGAGAGAGAGAGAGAGAGAGACAGAGAGAGAGAGAGAGAGAGAGAGAGAGAGAGAGAGAGAGAGAGAGAGAGAGAGAGAGGCTGCAGAGGAAGAGAGTCTAAAGGGTCGGGCAGCTGTGCAATTTCCTCCCGTTTCCTCTTCGCGTGTCTTGGATGGCCTGGGCGGCCTGGACCGAGGCGTTGCGTCGCGTTGCGTTGCCGAGGACGCTGTCTCTACATGAGGGATGGCTCTCCCCGCTGTCCCGACGGCCAGCAGTGCCGCCAGCCTCGGCCAGCCCATCGGCAGAACGGCAGTTTGCGCGGAAATTTGCGGCCGTTGCGCGTCGCACCGTGGTCGTGGTCCAGGCAACGCCCGCCTCGGTGGAAAAGCGCAACAAAGAAACAACAGCTTCGACGAGTACGCCTGGGCTGCGATCGAAACTCTCCACCTAAACGCCAAGTCTAGTTTTTATTTTTTAATCCGTCTTTCTTCGGAGCGAAGTGTGCCACCGAGGTACCTGTAGCAATGCGTTAAAACAGCAAGTATGATAATTGTTTTTTTTTCCTTCAACTTTGTTTTTGCGTGCCAGCCAGGCTTCTGGGCTGAATGCCCCACCCTATACTGGGGGACGCTTCCTGCTGAAATGAATGCCGGGAGCACGCGCGCGCGCGCGCACACACACACACACATACACACACACACTCACACACACTCACACACACACACACACACACAGAGCGTAATGTGTAATAAACGCGGAGGGCAAGCAAGCGGGTAGAGATACGTGGGCCTACTTAGACGCGGCTAACGAAGTCGGTCCTTTCAGTCGTCCAGCGGGCCAGGGGCGGGCCAGGGGCGGGCCCGGAAGGGGAAAAGTGGGGGGGAGGGGGGCTGCCACCTCGGTGGCTAAATCCATTCCGTGTTCACCTGAGAGCCGGCAGCAGCAGGGCCCCAAAGGGACACCGCGCACCACTCAGCGAAAAATAATAAAGAAAACTTTAAAAAAATTGAAAAAAAAAATTATGTTGTTTCTCTGGGGGGAACTGCTGGGAGCTCTCGTACTGACGCGGCTTCACGCTCGCCTGAGAGTTTTTGGTAGGTTTCGTTTACCGTGGTGTAAAGGATACTTTCACTCCCGGGCTGAGTTTTCCTTTTCGCTGCCGTCGAGGCACGACTCTGCGTTTTTTTGTTTGTTGGTGTTGTTGGCGTCGCCGTCCGCTTCGACAGGACAAGGTGTCCGATTACCTGACTGCTGCGTGATAGTTCGTCGGATAGGGCCCGCACGCCACGCTGCAGGTGAATCGAGGAACAAGGACAACAAGGGGCGAAGACAACAACAACAAGGAAACTCCCGCCCGTTTTTCCGGCGCAGTAGTCCCTCGTATTTGCTGACTCGCGAGATTCGTGAGACTCGTGACACTCGTCAGACTCGCGCCGGCAGACTGATTCCGAGAGTCTGTCTCTCTCGCACTCTCGGGGCGCCCCGTGCAGGTGCGAGAGAGACAGACTCTCGGTCTGGCAGCTGATTGGCGTGTTCGGCAGCGCACGCTAGAGCCGCTTTGGCGTAGCGTGTCCCTTCGGCTGTCTCGCCGGTCTCGCGCGCCCCACAGTGGGCCAGAAGACCGGTGGAGGTGGCCAAAAGTCATGACGCGTTTTGAGCTCCAGAGTCGCTAAATGGGACTGGAACCGACCGTGTGACCCCACGAATGGATTGCTCTCCGAACAAGGAATCCATTGGTAGGTCACGTCACACGTTCGGTTCGAGTCCTATTTAGCTACTCCGGAGCTCAAAACACGTCTATGTGTCGCTTGGGACTCAAGAACCTGAACGCGCTCCTTTTCTTGTGTGTTGCAGGTCGGCCGGCTAGTGCGACATCCTGGATTCGTTTACGTGAGTACCACGTGCGTGCGTGCGTGTGTGTGTGTGTGTGTGTGTGTGAAGAGAACGTGGTCCCTTTGTGTGGGGCAGTGCTATCTCGCCGGTCACACGCGCGCACCTTGCAGAGAGAGAGAGAGAGAGAGAGAGAGAGAGAGAGAGAGAGAGAGAGAGAGAGAGAGCGCTTCCAGTGTGTGACCGTGAAGCGCGTCTCGTAACACTCACTCTCCAGCTGGCTGCCTCGAACGGTTTGTCATAACCCGGAGAAGCATGAGTTTTAGGAAACACAACAACACGGGGTCGCGAGGGGGAAATCACTCTTAAAAACTGTGACCCGACTACTCCCTATTACGTTCTATTACGCTATTACAGAAGGCTTATTACGCTCGAAAATATCCAGATTTAGCCTAAAATCGGACTATAATTAGGGAAAATCTTTAAAAATTTGGCTATTACGCTATTACTATTACGCGTAATACTAGGAATCGGTGATCCGACTATTACGCGAGTGATTTCCCCCTCGCGGGGTTGAGAGAGTGGAGAAGAGAGAGAGAGAGAGAGAGAGAGGACCGTGGGTGACGTGTTTGGTGTGCAGCCCCTGTCGATCTTCGCCTGTTTCCTGATATTTGCTCTGCCGATGCCACGGAGGCCGCGTGGAGTTGATGCGGCCCCGAACAACACGGCAAGCACAACGTCGGCCACGCCGAAAGCACCCAGAGGCGGGGCCGGTGGGGAAGCACGGCACGGCAGCGCGGCAACAGAGATGCCTCGCAAAGTGGTGCAGCTTACATGAACCCGGCTATCCACCGTTCTATCTCGAGACGCGATAGGATAAATAGTGGTGCACGCGAGTACACAAAGGGGCGGCGGGCGGCGGAGGCGAGCCTTGTAGAAGTTGGAGAGAGGCGGAGGCGGGCCTGAAAACATGAACACGGACTAGGGCCGGAGGAAAGGAGAGTTTTTTTCCCCTGCTGGGATCCCTCGCTTTTCCGAGGGCCTCGCGCGGCGTGGCCCCGCCTGGCCGCACCTTGGCCAGTCCTTGAGGGTGTCGGTGTCGGCTGGCCGTGTAACCCTCGGTGTAACCGGCACGTGAGGGAGGTGCAGTTGGCCGGTTTGGAACGCGCGTATCACACACGCCGCGCAAGCATGAATACTTGACGGGCTGACCGACCAGACCCCCCGGGGAGGGGAGGGAGGGGAGGAGGAAGGTTAGGTCGTAACCCCGTGTGGGGGCATGCAAAGGGAGGCGTTCCATATCGTGTGTGTGTCTGTGTGTGTGTGTCTGTCTGTCTGTCCGTCTGTATGCCTCTCTGTCCATCTGCCTGCCTCCACTCTCCGCCCGGTACTGACGTTTTCTCATTAACAGAAGCATTTTTTTATCACCAAATGCTTACTATATTCTTGGAAATTGCAAAAAACTTCTGACATTTTTGATTTTTAAATAAATAACAAAGAAAATTGTAAATGCTGAGGCAGAAATTACCAAGTATTATATGTGGAATAGCTCCCAGGCATGCGTCCGGAACGGGCTGAGGGTGATGTCTGGCTGTGTGCATGTCTGAGTCCGTGACTGTACGTTTTTTTTTGTCTGTCTGTGACTGTCTGTGGGTGCTTTCCAATCGGTCAATTTGGCAGTGTCCTCATCACCACTGCGTCTGCTGCATTTCAAAATTGGCGCGCGGCGCTCGTGATGTGGTTGCATCTCCTTATTTTTCATTATTCATTCGGGTGTACATTTCCAAATCCTGCGTGTGGCTTTCCCTGTCACGCCCACTTTTCCTTCTTCTTTTTATTTACAAAAAAAAAGAAGGGGGCAGAAAAAAAATAAAACGCGAAGGTAAATACGAGAGTGAGAGTCGTAACCCACGGGGGAAGAGAGGGGGAGAGAGAAGGAGGGACGGCAGCCACCTTTCCTGACGGATGCCCCCGTGCGTGGTTTGATCCACCCACACGCACGCGGGTCCGCACACACACACACACACACACACACACACACACACACACACACACACACACACGAGCGAGCGCGTCACCACGGTGGAAGAAAGTTTTGCACCATGACACACACATCGCATTGCCTAACCTCGTAGAAAAATGGCGTTTCAGGAAAGGCTGAGACGGCTGATGGGCAAACTGGGGTGGGGGGTGGGGGGAACGAGTAGAAACAAGAGAGAGAGAGAGAGAGAGAGAGAAACGCGCGAGGAGGGGAAGGTAAATACGACCGAGGTACGATGGCAGCTGAATTTTTCATAGGCACCTCCTCCGTTCCACTCCGTTCTCCGCGCGCCTTTGCCTGTAGCGATTTATGCTGGAATGCCACTGGATCAAAGAAGGGGGCGGAAAAAAGGGGGCGAACACGAACCGTCTTTGACGCGTGTTCCATCAATGATGCATCCTTGTCTAATGCGACACTGCGCGCGCGGCTGCACGGTGGGCCAGAAGACCGGTGGAGGCAGCTGAAATCCCAGACGCGGTTTTAGCTCCAGAGTCACTACTTGGGACTCGAACCGAACGTGTGACCCCACCAACGGATTGCTCTCCGAACGAGGATTCCATTGGTGGGGTCACACGTTCGCTTCGAGTCCTGTTTAGCGACACTGGAGCCCAAAACGCGTCTGGAGTTTGGCCGCCTCCACCGGTCTTCTGGCCCACTGTGCGCTGCCAACTTGGCGCGCGCCATCGGTGCGAGGCTAACTAGGCGCCTAGTTGTTGTCGCAGCGCACCGACTGGCTTGTCTTCTGCTGGCGCGGAAATGATTGAATCTCCGCGACGAGGGAGACAGAGAGACGCAGGGAGCAGCGCGACTGCTTCTGAGAGACCGACACAGTGTACTATTCCGTTCGGATTATGAACACGACGTGAGCACGTCTCTCTCTGCCTGCTCTTCCCACTTCCTTGGGAGGAACAAGTGGCGTGTGTTGCAGGAATTATTGGAAAGAGGTCGCGTAACGTTTGCAGTAACTACGCGGTGCAGCGCGGTAACTTACGCTGCCTCTTCCGAGTCGCTATTGTTATTTTGTGGTAAGGAGCGGGCCTACCAAGATATAGTGGGGTAGGGATTTCTCTCTCTCTTGGTGTGTGTGTGTGCGCGCGCGCGCACAGGGTGGGTGGTCTAGGGGGTCGTTTCCAGACATTGCCGGTCTGCAATGGGATTCTATCCTGCGTCTTGCGAGTTATGACATCCGGCGCGCGAGAGGAGAGAGGGGGAGGGGGGGGGGAGACTGGTGACACTACAAACCTGAAAGGGCCGACCCTGAAAACAAAGGACAAGGCCACAAGCGGCAGAACAGCACAGCCCTCTGAAAAGTTTTCTGCGGGCCGGCGCGGTATTTTGTAGCCTCGTTTGCGTAATCGCGAGGTGCGAACCGCGAAAAAGACGCTCGTCTATTTCGCCCCGCCGCGGTTTTTCTATTTGTTGTCGCCGTTTTGTTGTTGCTTCTGTTTTTGCTCTTGTTGTTGTTTTGCTGCAGCCGTTTGATTGCCGCTCGGCCGTCCGCCCTAATCTGCGTGTCGCAAAAACGGAAACGCGCTCCTTTGATTTAGTGGCGGGGGTGGGGTTATTGCTTTCCGTGTGTCAGTGTGTCATTCGGCCACTCACACACACACACGCGCGCGCGCGCGCACACACACACACACACACACACACACGCACAGCGTGAAGAGGGTGCCTGGTGGGGTGTGCATCCAGGAGCACGACGCTGCCCCTCCCCCTCCCCCCCTGTCTCTCCCTCCCTCCCTCTCCCTCTCTCTCTCTGCAATTATTTCGAGCAGTCGTCCAGCGCTCCTTGTCACGATTGATAATTTTGCCCCCTTTTTTGGGTGCGTCGCGCCGCCACCGCCGCTTTGTTTTGGCGAAATTCCTCAATTTATTGCGTTTGTCCGTCGGCCCAATCAATCCCCCGGACAGCCTCCGTTTACTCTGACAATACCTCTCCGGGCTCCGCGCCGCCCGGACCTGAGCCGCCCCGCCCGGTCGGCCTGCCTCCGGGCCTCCGGGCGCTCCGGGCAGCAGGCGATCCCTCGCGTGACCCCGCCTCGTCTCGCCTCGTCTCGCCTCGCCCCACCTGCCGTCGCTCCGTCTCTCTCGCTCCGCCGCCGGACGGCTGGCAGGGGCCGCGAGTGCGACGGAGACGGGGCGCGGGACCGACTCTCGGCCCGCTGATGTCCGAAGGACGGCGAGCGGCGCGGAGCAGCAGGCACTTTGCTGCGGCCAGTGGAGGCCGATGAAATCGTGCCTGAGGGCGAGGCGAGGGCGAGGCGAGGGCGAGGAGGAAGGGAGGACAAAGGACGAGACGAGGACGAAGGGAGGACGAGGCGAGGACGAGGAAGGACGAGGAGGAAGGACGGGGACGAGACGAGGACGAAGGGTAGACGAAGGACGAGGACGAGGCGAGGATAAGATGGCCTCTAGCTAGCCGGAGTAGGTGGCAGAACTACGTAAAATAAAATTCTTTTCAAAAAATTAATTAAATAAATCTGAAGAAAATCTGCTTTTACAACTTTGAGAATTTCTTTCGAAAAAAGTTCCAATTTAAGTGACAATGAATGTCCAGAAAGCCGTTTGAAAGATTCGCCACACCTGTATATAGATCCAGCAAGAATAAACGGTATGTTCATGTTCGTAGAGACACCACGGTCGGACAGGCAGTTACACCTTGGTTACACCGCGACACGACGACGGGGCGGTGGAGAGAGCCGCGTAAAAGAAAGCGTTGAGGACGGAGGCGGCGCTCAGGTGGCCAGAAAAGCGGTGGGTGTGGCCGAAATTCCGGACGTGTTTTTGAGCTCCAGTCGTGAATGGGACTCAAACCGAACGTGTGACTCCACCAATGGATTCGTCGTGCGGAGAGCAATCCATTGGTGGGGTCAAACGTTCGGTTTGCGACCCTCTTAGCGACTCTGGAACTTAAAAAGGCGCCTTGAATTCTGGCCCCCTCCACCGGTCTTCTGGCCCACTGTGGGGAGGCAGGCAGCTTCCTTCCCCCGACACACCTGCCGTCCTTTACGCGTCAGGCCAGACGGCCCCACTGGCGGCAGGCTAGCGGCAAGCCAGCCGCCATCAAAACTTTAATTCAAACAAAAAGAAGGACACGCCGCCTTCTCGCCATCACGGCACACTTTAAGTGTTATTACAGCTGTTTATGAAGGATGAGGCGTGCTTTTTGGGAGAGTTTCCGTCAGCGCTCGGCCAGAACACAGCCTCGGGGCTGTCGAGGCCTCGGTCGAGGCGGTCGGGGTTCGTGGGGTGGCGCGCCCAGAAAAAACAAACAAACACACCAGCAGCAGCAGCGGCAGCACGCATTTGCAATCAAGCGCGGGGCGCCTCCTGTCTCGCTCAGCGCTGCCGAGAAACACTTCAGCTGGACGCGACAACTGTGTCTCCAGCCCACAGTGAGCTAGAAGACCGGCGGAGGCGGCCGAAACTCCAGACGCGTTTTGAGCTCCAGAGTCGCTAAACAGGACTCGAACCGAACGTGTGACCCCACCAATGGATTGCTCTCCGAACGAGGAATCCATTGGTGGGGTCATACGTTTGGTTCCCTCAAAACGCGCCTCTGTGCATCACGGCTAACGCAAGCTTTGTCGCCAGGTTGCCCCTGTCGGCCATGGAGCGGGAGGCGGCCGCCCAGGACCACAGCCTCCACATGCACGGCGTCCACGCCACGCTCCTCTCCTCGAACAATGGTGAGTGACGTCCAACGTTCGGCCACACTGTTCTTCGACCGAGTGACGTCATCTGCTTCAGCATGCGGGTTCTGTCACGTTCGTCGATAGTTTCTCTTCTGTTTTTTCTCTGAAACGGGTTCGAGCGAGGGTTCGAGACGCTAAAAATCCAGCTCTTCTTTTTTTTTTTTTTTCGCTATCTCGAACCGCGGCAGTCGTCCCCGTGCCCTACTGGCAGTAAAAGGCTGCCGGCTGGAAGTGGTATCGTAGCAGCAGGCTCGGCGAGGGCCCCCCACCGCCAGGGCAGTGCCAGCGCGGCCGTGTACTTGTTGAGCGCGTCACCCGCCCGCTCCTCGCCCCGAAGACTACCCACCCCCCTCGTTCGGTGGCGCCGTACCCGCCGCCGGGTTGGCGCATCGTTACTGCCTCGATACGCAACGGATGGCTCCATCGTGCGCAACGTTCTAACGCCCCCTCTGCACCGTGCATGCACTGTGCGAAAAGGGCCCTCTTTTCCGTAGAGATACACTGGACGGCAGCAAAAGTATATTTCATTTCCACAATGAATAAACGCTGGGCTAAAAGAGTATGTGGCACTAGTAGTGACAAGAGTGACCGAGGGGGTAAACACTTGCGTAATACCCTGTACACAAAAGTCGGGTATTACGCCGTAATACGCGTAATAGTAATACATTTTGGGACCAAAAGTATCTAAAAATGTCACTTTTCAATGAAATCGAGGCGTAATACATGCGTAATACAAGTGTAATACCCCGTAATAGGGAGTAGTCTGTACAAGGTTCACCGTAGTGTTTACCCCCTCGAGAGTGACTCTAACGACTAGAACCCACTTTTCAGGGTGTAACGCCCGCAATTGAAATGCTCTCTCTCTCTCTCTCTCTCTCTCTGCCTTTTGTCCGCATCCTAATTCGCGAGGCCTGATTGGCCAGCGATATGTGAGGCCCGAGGTGGAGACACAATCAACGCCGTCAGCCAGAAGTGGAGGCAGCGCCGCGATACGAGAGAGGGAGAGGGGAGAGAGAGAGAGAGAGAGAGAGAGAGAGAGAGAGAGAGAGAGAGAGAGAGAGATTGGGGGGGGGACGAAGCCAAGCCATCCCCTTTCTGATTGAATTAGCCTTTACGATAAAGACAGCGGAACACCTCCAGTGCGTGCGAGTGTATTTCTAAGTGTGTGTGTGTGTGTGTGTGTGTGTGATTGTGTGTGTGTGGAGAGAGAGAGAGAGAGAGAGAGAGAGAGAGAGAGAGAGAGTGTGTGTGGAAAGAGGGCAAAGGGTGGGTGGGTGGGTGGCCAATACAACGGTCACCCAACACACGCACAGGTCCTTACACACACGCAAACGCACAAACACACACACGCACGCACAGACACTGTGAGACGGCAAAGCCCTTAGCCGCGGCTGGTGCCTACCCTTCACCCCGTGCGCGCACCCGCGCGGCCCCCCATACAACACGACAGAGAATATCAATTTCACAGCAAGCACGCGAGCTTCGTCTGTGTGTGTGTATGTGTGTATGCGCGTGCGCGTGTGTGTGCAGCACTGTTTTCCTCCTAGCCACACACCTCACTCTTAAAAATACTAATCCAAATATTTGATGAAATCTGTTATTGTAGTTCTGCAAACCAAAGTGTGTACTCAGTATGCGTCTACAGATGCATTCTTGCAAGTACACGTCTACAGGTGCATATTTGGCTGAGTATACATCTGCAGATGCATAGTTGAATGAGTATGCGTTTGTAGATGTGTACTTAGCCAAGTATGTATTATAGATGTGTACTTGCAAATCTTGCAAGTTGACGCATACTGAGTACACCTTTCAGTTTGTAGAGTACTTTGACTAAGAATCCATAATGTCCTATTGCACAATTCATCATGTGGGTCCTCTAACTTTTTTTTGACATGCCAAAATCTTAAAAGGATGGACACCATCAACATTTCACAAACAACAATTTTTTCACCGTTGTCATGTACGATTATTAACGTGACGTTCGCGTCGGAATCGTTTGCACATTTCGTCGCGTCTCAACGAACAAAGAAAAGTGTGATGTGTTTTTGTTTTGTTTCGTTTCTCGCCCTTTGTTGCAGTGCTGCGACGCGATACGACGCAGGCCTTCCTTTGTGCGCTTGGCAGCGTCATTAGATTTTCACACCGCGAAAAAACGAAAGCAAAACAAAGTGTCCGGGAAAGTGGTGGAAAGTGCACTCGGCTCGAAATACCCGGAGGTTGGGCCGCGCAGATTTTAACGCCGGTAGTAAAACCAGTGGGGCGGGCTTTGGGCGGTCAGTGGGCTCTTGGGTTCAACAACTTTGTCGTGTCTGACGGCCAATTCTCACAACAACGGCGCATAAAAAAACACGTAGCTGCAAAGCAAAATTTACACTGTAACTGTGTTTTCGTCAGACTGCGTCTTTTTTTTCTCTTTGTCGGCGGCGAGCAGGACAAGACAATTGGGCATAAGGGCATCGGATTGGATAAGGGTGGCCCTTAGAGGCCACTGTATGCTCGGAGCGTGAAGGCCTGAAGGGCATGGAGAATGCAGGCTGGGCCCTGGCCGCCCTGGCCGCCTTGGCGCGGCCCGCCGCCGCCCAGACCCATAACATATTGGCGTTATAAATCGACGAACCTTTTACCGAGCGGAAGGGCCGGCCGGCCGGAGGGCGGCAACGGTAGGGCCTGGGCCGCCTGGCTAGGGCCAGCCCTAGGGCCAGCCCTGCCGCCAGCCCTTGCAGGCATCATTCACCGCATGCATGGCCGAGTGCGCTAATCAGCATAGGCCTCCAAACTGTCTCAGTTGCGAAGAATTCAAACGCGCCTCGAGAAAGAAAAGAGAAATCAAAAACAAAAACAAACAAGAGCGGGTAAGACCACGCCTTTAAATGTTGGAGGGGGGCCGTCCGAAAATTCAATTTATTTATGTTTTAGCGGAACGAGCGGTCTGCACCGCGGGGACGGACCGTAAAGTGTCGCACGCGCTTTTGGCGGACCGCGCCTACACTCTCAAACGCACACACGCACACACACACTAACACACACACGGCACGGAATGCTTTATATATGCTCCTTCGGGGGCCCGCTTCGCCGCCAGTCGTCATAATATCGTTTCTTTATGGACGCTCCCCCGGCGACCGGGTAGGTGAGCCGTCGGCCTCGTCTGTCCACCCGTCTGTCTGTCCGTCTGTCCGTCCGTCCGTGCGTCCCGTTCGTTTACGGCGTCGCTACGAGGTGCGAGGGCGTCGCGCCGCCGTGGCGCCACCGATAAGACCTGCCGCCCTGTGGTGATCCGGGGCGTATGGGTAGCCGAGCGTGGCGGCGGGGCGTACACAGTGGGCCAGACGGTCAAAATCCCGGACGCATTTTTGAGCTTCAGAGTCGCTAACCAGGACTCGAACTGGACGTGTGACCCCACCAATGGATTCCTCGCTCGTAGAGCAATCCATTGGTGGTCACACGTTTGGTTCGAGTCCCATTTTGCTCAAAACGCGTCCGGGAACGAACGTGATGACGATCCAATCCCAACATTGGCGTTCCATTCGTTGGTCTTTAACAGTGTAGCCGCGAGCGTGGTGCGCTGTGCGCGATCTTTTCGCGGTGATCTATTGTGGGCGTTTTCGTCACTGGACTCGGCCGAATGTGACACGCTGCCGATGACGTCATCGTCCATGCGGCAGAGCGGAGCGTTGCCAATCAAACAATGCTTTGCATATGGAGCGGGGCCAATGAGCTATGTCTGGCCTTTCATTTTCGTGTGTCGTCCGTCCTTCATATTTATGCGGGGTTGGCCAAAAAGTGAACATCAATTTTACCAGAAGAGTACATTTAATCAGTTCTTACAGCGCACATGCTGGAAGAAATTGTGCACAAGAAACCAAAACTTTCAGTTCTTTTTGCCTGGTGAGAAAGTAGTGCCACACTTGATAATGTCTGCGACTCGGAGTAGCCCCTCAGTTGTGTAGGGTGCCGTCGTCCCTTCGTCGACGAAATAGATGAGGGTTTGCCTCAGCGTCGTGGACGCCTTCGTCTGGTCAAGTGCCTTTTTCTTGCAGCGTTCGACGCACTGAGAGAGAATCTGGGTGTCGGTGGCTTGCTTGAGCTTGCCAACGCATTGGGTCAGGATGTCCGGTTTGCGGGCTAAGGTTTTCTCATCGAGAATGTTGCCCGTGGCTTTCAGCAGAGCGGCCCTCACCGCGAGAAGAACTCCTTTTGTCTCCTCGAGGGACCTTGCACTCTGTGTAACAGCAGTTTCAAGGGTTCTCTATTACGTTCAGAGTAATTCGTATTGGAAGGCGTGAGAGCGCGTCACCATCGGCTGTCTGTGTGCACACTGGCTGTGACGTTCAAACGAATGTGACATCATATTCAAAAGAACGTGACAAAATTCACACTCCAACGAATATGACGTCACATTCGTTGGCTACCAGTGCAAAAGACTTACGTGTACGGCACTAGGCAGGACTGCAGCCAGGACAGCCACGCTGACGAAAAGAACTGCGACCTTGCTCATGGTGGACGCTGGTATTGCCACTGAAAGACAGCTGACCGTTATATAAGTCGCCTGTGAAGGCGGCCTGTCATGACGAACGGCACGACTGGTACCCTCTACTATCAGTATGTTCGGCGAATCAAGTGCCATCCAACGACTTGGGTTCTGCACCGTACAGTTTCCTCCCCCCAAAGCAAAACAAGTCGTGGCACGAGTTTGGTGAACATGAGTATCGTGAGTACAAGCTAACGAGAGTGTACACTGAAAACCCAAAAGTGATTTACTCCGCACGTGTGGTGTAGACTGAGACCGCACCACCAAACGTGGAGTGGGTTTTCCGCACATGCTCTATGTTGTGCCCGCACAGAAGTCTCCTGCAGACCACGTTTGCGCCATGTAAAAGGTTTGGAACTTCATAAGCTAGACCGCGTTTCTGATATGTAACGACCGCACCATTTGATGCGGGCCAAGTGGCACTCGTTTGACGGCACCAGTTAGGTTTTTTCTTCAGGAATCCCAGGTACTGCTTCAAAAAATAAGTTCGGAAAAATAGAAAGCAAACCGAAAGAAGCAGGAATAGAACTAGGCGAAAGAAAATAATAAAAAGAAGAAACGGGAGGAGGATGAACTAAAGAGAGAAAGGATAGAAAAGAAAACGAAGTACGGGCAGCAAGAGCGGAATAAGGAGAGAGAGAGAGAGAGAAAGAGAGAGAGAGCTGACGTGTTTCCGTTTAGCTGTCACAGCAGGAAGGCTGCACCCCGCCACGCCCCGCCCCGCCACACCTCAGAGCGGCGTGCCGCCACCGCGCGGCTTGAAGGGGGCCACTTATTTTTCGCCGTGCTGGCTGCCTGATTCCGAGAGTCGTTTTCGTCGCTCCGTCTCCCTCACACCTGTACGGGTCGCTCCAAGAGCGCGAGAGGCAGAGCGACAAAACCGACTCTGAGAATCAGTCTGCCTTGGAATGTGGCCCTGGAAGAGAGAGAGAGAGAGAGAGAGAGAGAGAGAGAGAGAGAGAGAGGCGTGAGGTGATCCCACTGTTAATTTCCCTGCATCCTTGCCACCCTTTTGTTCCCTGGCCAAAAGCTCCGCTGCTTGCCGAAGAAGGGGTCCAAATGCCGGAGGCATGGTTTCCGACCAACATCGAGTCGCTGCACAGAGGGGGTGGAAGAGAATCGTAACCCGGGGGTGGATCGGAATCGTAACCCGGACTTAAATTTTGGCTCAGGTATTCGTCACCCAAATTTGGGAATCATATCACGCGAAGTTGAGTCCTCCGAATTCGGGCGCTATAAACATGCCTCCTTCAAAATAGGGCGTTGGTCCAGAGTTTTTGACTCTCGGTGTGTCCTGAATTTCGTGGGGGAAAAGTTTGGGAGTGTTTTCCGCGGCAAGGTGTGTCCGACCGTCCCGGATCACGGGGGGCCCTCTGGCTTTGCCACTGCTTTCGCCACTGCTTTCTCCAGCGCGGCGCCGCGACGCTCCAGCGGCTCCAGCAGTGCGCCGGCAGTGCGCCGGCACGGCCGGACTCCGGCGGGCTTCAAGTTCGCCTTGTTCTCCGAGTCATAAATGTTTCATGGTATCTCTCCTCCGGTGATTTAGCTCACACGCCGTATTCAAATCGGTGGTCGCATTAGGGCAGGCGGTCACGGGGAAGAAGGCGGCGAGAGAGAGAGAGAGAGGGAGAGAGAGAGAGAGAGACAGAGGGAGAGAGAGAGAGAGAGAGAAGCATAATGCGGCCGTACAAGGCAGTGCCGGCCGCCTGCGAGGTAGGCCGCGTGGGCTCTCCAGTGTACGAGTGTTGCCTACCCTGCGTTCCGCAGGCGCGCTTCTGCGCTTGCACTGTGTGCCAGAAGACCGGTGGAGGCGGTCAAACTCCGGGACGCGTTTTGAGCCGCAGAGTCACTAAAGAGGACTCGAACTGATCGTGTGACCTCACCAATGGATTTCTCGTTCGTAGGGCGATCCATTGGTGGGGTGACACGTTCGGTTCGAGGCCCACCTAGCGACTCTGGAGCTAAAAACGCATCCGGAATTTTGACCACCTCCAGTGGCCTTCTGGTCCACTGGGTCCACTGGGTCCTCTCTGTTTTCATCCTTCGATAAACCTCGAGAGCGGCTTGGCGCCATTTCAATGCTTATCGAGGAGCTCGTCATTTCCGGTGTCGCCGCGTTGGCCGCGTTGGCCGCGTTGGCCGCGTTCGGCTGGAAAGCGCCGCTGTTTCTGACGGCTGGGGCCCCGGAGGCGACCCGGAGGGCACGCCAAAGAACAGCCTTGCATTTTAACCAATGACGTCATACTCGATGGAGTGAGAATTTCGGAACGTTCGTTGTAACACGACGTCACGTCTATTTTAACGCTCTACGGACGTCTTTAACTGCAACATTGGTATCTTGATCTTTTTTGTATGATATAAAAATCTTTACACGAGGAAACTTTCCTTCATTCAAGAAAAAATTTTGAGTGCAGGAAAATTTTTACAAAAATAAAACTAAGGACAATTTATTTTTTCTTGACCTAGAAAGTTTTTTTTTTTTTTTTGGGGGGGGGGGAGTGTGTCAGAAGGGGATAATCAGGGTGTCACTTGAGACCCAAACGAACGTGACAAAATTCACATAGTAGTAAGTATGACGTCACACTCGTAAAACAGTGCGCTGGCTGCTGGGCCTGCCATACCGCACCTCTCGTTGGAAAGCAGTTGGGAACACATGTCGGCGACGATCATTTGGTGTGGTTCGGTGGGGGCGAGGCTGGTCCCTGTGCACAGTGGGCCAGAAGACCGGTGGAGGCAGTCAAAATTCTGGACGCGTTTCGAGCTCCAGAGTTGCTGAATGGGGCTCGAACTGAACGTGTGACCTCACCAATGGATTGGTTTCTGAACGAGGAATCCATTGGTGGAGCCACACGTCCGGTTCGAGTCCCATTTAACGTCTCTGAAGTTCAAAACGTGTCTAGAGTTTTGGACGCCTCCACTGGCCTTCTGGCCCACTGTGGGCCGGTCCCTGTGGGCGGTATTTGAATGAGGAAACGCTATCCGTCGCTTCGCCCCGCCTCGGCCCGCGTGACCCCCCATCCCTCACCCTCGTTCGATGCTAGTGTAGTTTGAGAGGCCGGCTTTGGATTACCCGTAATGATATTCAAATGACGTCACTGGGGTCCAGTTCCTGGCGCTCCTCTGCCGCCCGGAAGCATTAACTGCATACTCAGCCGAGTGGTGATCTATCCGAATTTTTATCGTTCATGTCCAGAAAGACGGATGCACCTCAAGTATGACGTTCGTTTTTAGGGCTGCACAACGCGCTACACTGCGAGAAAAAAGTACAGAAAAAGTGCGGAACATGCGTGGTGAGTAATTTGCCTGGACCGTGCGTACTTACCTGAACTACGGAACTTCAGTACTATTTTTCCGTACCCGATTACATGAGTTCCTCTGAAACAAGTTCGGACGTTTCATTCTCTTTTCCGTACTTCCGTACTATAATTGTCTGCACATTTTCGTTCAAAACGATGGAAGTTTTTGCAGTGCGGGACCAATTCGTTTCTTGTAGTGCAGGGTCAGTGTCATGTAAATATTTACCAAAGATGTTTCAGTGTTCTTTTTTCCCCCGAGGACAATATCAAGAGCGTTGTTTGCGTAGCGAAACGAGTTTGCCACTCATGTCGTCTTTCCATTGAAACCGGTGTTTTCCTAAGTCTGTGTGTGTGCGTGCCTGGAGTAAGCGCGGCAACGAAAGCGGGGAGGTCGGGGCTTAATGGAGCCTGCCCCTTAAACATGCACTGTTTACCTTAACCAATGATGCCATTAAGCTTACCCCGCGGTCTTCATAATTGACCTCAGACTCTCTCGGTTTCCCTTTTTTCCTCCCTACCCACTCACGAGCCCTCGCCCCATCGACTGGCGTGAAGAAGTCGGGTACTTCCAGAATGGAGATGGATGGTGCTGGGCACTCCGCGTTCCCACACCCGAAAAAAAGAGAAAAACTCTCTGGATGGCGCTCCAAATTGCACGGCGGTGCAGGAAACTCGGTCGGGATTGAAGTCAGGCCGAGGGTCTTCAATTTTGGCACTCCCAGCACGCCCCGAGCCTGGCTGGCCTGGCCAAGGGCCTGGCTGGCGCGGCCGCCGTCTTGCTTCTGGGCCTGAGCAACTGTCCTACTTCTCTGTGCTGATAACGTGGCTCGTTACTAGCGCCTCTGTCCGCTCCAACTCGGCCCAAAGGGAAACGGACTTTATCATAAGCGCCGGCTCAGCAGAAAGGACTAGGTACATCCACCCTCAAAAAGCCGGACCAGAGAATTCGGGTCGACACGGAGAAAATCATGAATAAAATATGCTGACCCGTGTAGCAACGTGCCTCCACCAGCTGCTCAGTCTTTTCAGGGTAACGCGACAAACTTTTTTTTTGTTTTTACTCGTTTTTTTTTGTTGTTCTTTTCCGGTGTACATTTTTACAATGCCCTGTGTTAAGGTGACCGGTTATTCATATTTTGAGAACAAAAGGGACGTGGACGTTCCCGCTGGACAAATGTGTGCCTGTGTGTGTGTGCGTGCGTGTGTGTGTGTGTGGGGGGGGGGGTCCTTTATCACCGTCGCCTTCTGGAGTCAGCGCTAATTCCAGAGCTCCCTCATTGTGCTGACCGTTTTGTTTAGAATGTGCGTCGGCAGCGAAGGCCATTTTTTGGGGAGTGCCGTCACTTGCACTCTGTCCTTCCGCATGTGGTGGGGTCTTTGCTGAGACGCCGCCGGTTCCTCATCATCATTTCCAAAGCTTCACTGAGATTACGCTCTTTGGCAGTATCCAACTTTACCACTAAGTTCGTGTAAAGGACTTAGTCGCCAGGAACAATAGTGGGTGGTCTCGCCGCCCAGGAGGAGGCCGGGAGCCTCGAGGCAACCGAGTTGATCCGAGGGTGCATGCGTTGTTTTCGTAAGGTTTCTCTGGCCCGAGAGAGTGCGCCAAGAGGGCTGCGTGTTATGGCTTGTCCGTCCAAGTTTCCGAGCTCCTGCAAACGAAGATAAACGCCTCCATACATCAAACGCAACGAGTCTCAAATTACAAAATTGACTGCGAACTTTCCTCTTAGCGGCTGAATGTTGAAGACGCCACAAGGAG